TCTGTGCTACCATTTTTTTTCAATCAACGTATTTGCAGCTTTTTGGAAGCCTCAAAAAATGAGTTTCATATCTTTTCTATTTTTAATATTGACTGTGCGTCTTCAATGACCCACGACTTTGATTAAATTTGGTGGTCGCGTCAAAACCTTAGAAAATGGCCCGTGACCACAGAAAGAGTGTGAGCGCGACTCAAACCGACCAGTTCTCGATCCGCGGTTTTCGGGCGTAAGGAAACCCAATTTTGAGCGGGCATTTCTGTTGTAGGTAGTTGGACTCTCATATGTCACGTACATCTAAAAACCTCGGCGAGCATAAATACCCCGTCAGTGTCCCTTTAAGACGTCGTAAGAGGCTTGAAAACCGGTCTTCTATCTCTCCGTCCTACTCAGTCGCAAGTGTGTGAACGGCGCTAAAGAGTTCAGGAAAAACGCCCCCCCCCCCCCCCTTCTTTTCACTTCAGCTGAGTGATGGCAAGGAGGTGACCATCCTCTCCAGCGTTCGCTGTGCTGAAGGAAAAAGAGTTGGGAGGAGCTTCCCCTGCAGGCCGTTTGAAACTGCAACGCCGAACAATAGTTACGAACGCACAATAGAGGCGTAAAACCTGACGAGACATGAAAGCTCTTTAAAAGGACGGGTTAAAGGTTGTACAAACAGGATACTTCAGAACTAGTAAAGCAACACTTCTTCGCCATATGAGTTGGAAGTTGAAGTCCGGTCATCCGTCTTCTGTTTGCACACGAACTCATCTCTGTTACGTCGCGCCGCGGTGGTGTTGCGACGGGCGCACTTCCGGTCCAGGCTGTGGGCGGAAGTCACCATGGGCGACGTGCATTCCTGTGTTACTTTGGAAGAAACCGGACAAAACCCTGCCTTCTCGTCTAATTTCCGCCACTGGGGCTGTACCAAAAGAGTCGGGAAATGTTTGAAGGTCAGTTTTCATGCGTTTTCTGCCTGATCGGTTCGTCCGAGAACGTGAATGGTGGTCGTGAAAAAGGAAACACAGACGCCGTCGGACCACGATTACTTGCGCGGGAAGCACTTTGAATTGAATTGAAGGATACTTGTAGTCGTCAGATTTATTTGTTTTGTTCCAACATGAACGCGGGAAAACCGCCTTGTTGCACGGACCACCTGCGGACTACGTTCAGTGCGTCATCGAGTTCACACGGCACCCTCATCGTTCGCGTTGTCGTCTACTTCCTCAAACGTTTCTGCCTGTCGTCTGCTCGTTCAAACGACAGTGGCCCGTAGACCAAACATTGACTCGGTAATTCCGATAAGAAGTGCAGACCTTAAAAGACGTTTAAGTTTGAAGGGTGCTTCGCGTAAGTAGGCTCGATGTAAACAGTAGAATTAAGGAGATGTTGACAATTGTTACCAGTGACCATCACCGACTTGTTATGCCTGATTCACTCGGTCCGATTCTGCTTGCGATTTTCAGCATCGACTTCGACATCTGAGCTGCGGTTCAGGCTTTTGCAGCCTGAGCGACGCCATGACTGCAAATAGCGAGCAGAACCTCACATTGTGAATCAGGTTTTAGCGTCCATTCTGCGGCGTCCGCGCGGAATGAATCGTCGCATGTTACGCCAAGTTTTGCGGTGTAACAAGCCTGTTTAATTTCGCTGAGGCTGCTCAAGTAGTTAGACATCGCCAGGAAGACGTTGAATCAACAATGGACCTTTTCCGAGAAGCGTTCTGCGCACGCGCAAGCGCCCGATGCCAAGCGGCGGAAGTCGGACCGAAAAATCGAAGAAATTCGGAAGGAGGCTGAATATCAGCGAATAGAACACGTAACTGTAGCATATATGTCATTGTGTTACACAAAAAAAAGAACGTCGACGGAAAGGAAAACACGACGTTTTGGTGGACGCCACGGATGCACCTCTTTCAAGTCGCGTTGGGCAGGCGCCACTGCTCAGAGAGCGAAGAAACTGGTAGCGTAGCTCCCATTATCGATTGGTAGCGCAGGTAGGTCACTTCCTCGATTTTAAGTTCGTGCAGCCACCGCCTGGTGACGTCGGTATGTGGAAATGTCCATTTCAACGCGAAAAAGAGCACGGAGACTCAGGCCGACGCCGACAACATCCTATTCCTATGGTTTGTTTATGGGTGACGGCGAGCTTCCTGCCCACACCCCCATAGCGCATGCGCGGCGTCGGGGCGCTCCGGTTTGTTTGTAAACATGAGCTGGTGTGTACATACACCAAGCAAACATCACGGCTTTCCTCCTCGCCTCAACTCATCCGCTTTCGTGTGACGTCGGCGCCTGTCCATCTGTTTCTGCTGCGCCCTCGTATCCTTCCCTTCCCTGCTTTTGGGATAAGACTTAACAGCAGCGGAGGCCTTGAGCGATTGACCGACTGTCAGCAGAGCCTGCCCGTGAATGTTCGAACCCACATGATGAGCATGCACTATGCCTCCGTCAAGGAGACAAGCGGACAGTAGCAAAAAACGAACTTTCATCTCGGCAAAAAAAAAAAAAAAAAAAAAAAAGAGACGGATGGCGGAGATGTGTCGTTTCGCGCGTCCTGGAAGTTTCGTGTTTGGGCAGTATTTTACACGCAAAAACAAACCCAAAAGTCGCAAGCAAGAACTAACTAAATTTAACGCATGATTAATAAAACTAAGAGGTTAATCATTATAAACCCGTAAGTCAGGTAAATATTCCCCTCGCAGTGTTTCATTGTATAGTTTATAAGAAACAAATAAATAAAAAGGCGCACGATTATTTTGTTATGAGGGAATAAAAAGCTTTTTTCTCCTATTGTTTAGACGTAATTTTTGTAGAACCCAGCATAATAAGATAGAAGATATTTCCTCCTGTAGCAGCTGGCAATCAACATGTGATTGAATCCGTTTGAATATCTTAATAGTATCAGGGAACTGAAGCAACTTTCAATGTTTTACACAAAGAGAGTGATTAATGGTAAAAATGTTAGCAAGTAAGGGTCCGAGAATAGAACCCCGAGGAGCGCCAGATGATATATATGATCTCGCTAACCCTTAAATATATGACTGAAACCACAAACCTACCGGCCAACGCGACTTTCCGACACCTTGTGCACTAAAAAGTCATGGGGCACCAGGTCAAATGCATTACTAAAATCAAAATAAATGGCGTTGACCAGGCCACGGTTGGCCACAATGGGGCCAGAAATACTTTTGGTTTCAACAGTTTTACTCTCAAGAAAACCGTGTTGTGAGTCATTTAATATTTATATGAAATAACTAGAAAGGTACACTTCTACCACGCTCTCAATCAGTTTTCAGAATGCGGTCAGTATTCATAATATTTTGATTTTAACTCGAACAGACTTATGTAAACCCAAAAAAAAGCGTGAAAGGTGCACTAATGCTGCCTGTGGGGATGAGTTCTAAAACTATGGGGCTCATATTATAATGGGCTAAAGGTCACAACAAGCCAGATAATCAACTAAAACTTGTTAGGTAGCTTTTTAGTAAGTGATAATGAAAGTATGTTTCAAATTAGAAACCTGCAGAGCTTCATCGAACACTACTAAATTATAAAAATTTAGATGGACGTATTGCATAATTAAAGTGCGTGGCTTCGCTAAAGTCACCACCTGTGCAACAGCTGTAAGGCTGGCGGTGCGAAGCGTGGGTGATTATCATCCGCGAAGCCCAGCAACAAACTGTATTATACATTGTTTCACCTTGGCTTGTCGCAGAGCGAAAACTACGGCACCTTCGAACCAATCAGAGTGATGGTTGTGAAGATTGACGGCCCATAAAGGCCGACGTACCGCCTTAGTTCCCTGCAGGGAAATTGATCCTCTTAGCGTCATACTCTCGAAAACTGCGAGGGGTGCCATGTTGGGGCATGTTGCGTAAGGTAGACTGGATACGGGAAAGGAGGTAGCGATAGCAAGAGGAAAGCGCGAAGTGCACGTCGGCCTTTAACAAAAACACGGGGGCGAGAGCGTAACCCAAGCAGATGAAGAAGAGGGGAAGGAGGAACTGCCTTCTTAAGCCGAACCCTCTTGTGTGTCCCAGACGTCACTGTGGTCGCCCTGGGAGATCAGCCCGTTACTCAAAATTTGTTCAAAAGCGGCTTTTTTCTCTCTCCTGCTCCTAGCCTTGACAGCACTGCGCGCTACAGACTAAGAACTAGTAAAGTCACGTGTCTTGCTTCGACGCGCTGATTGGTTCACTCGGACCGTAGCCCACACCGTTTGTCAACGTGTAGTGAGGCGGTGTATAGTTGCAGATTTTTCGAACGCCGGGAGGCTGCGATGGCGGAAGGTGTTTCTTCATGGAATAAATCTCCATGTTATCGCCTACACGGGATTTTCAGTTTTAGGTGTTTATTGGCAGAGGTGATGCATAAAACATCTATTTTTCTGCACTAGTGCCTACCTGTCATTATCAATCAGATGTAAATCATTCGGATAGGCCTTTTTTACTTGCGAGTCTCCAACTGAGCATCAAATTACGTTCAAATTACGTAGCACTGAAATTCTTATTGTATTAAAAATCACGCACGATACTAGCAGGGTAAGACATTTCATTCCAGTCCTGTGAATTTACCTTTTTTGTCCAGATTAAACAAATGTTGATTGTGCACGACACTGGGTTCTGTTTGGAACACTCCTTTTTAGTTGGAACAAAACTTTCGTGCCAAGAGTGTCCCTGTTTTCGTGGACGTACCAATGGATATAAGCCTTTGAGGCACCGATGATTAGCAGCGAATTCAGAGCACGACCTCAGTAAACTGAAAATGCTACATAACTTTTCGTTTATCTTACACATATAGTACGTGTCTACATTCCAATATAAATAAAAGCAACGCAAAATAAATCTGTCGAAATACGCCTCTTATGCAGCTTGTTTTATTCTAGATTCCTGTGTTAGGCTACTTTGATTGATCTGTTCCTTCTTCCGCTATAAAGCAAACTGTACTGCTTTTCTTACCCCTTAAAGTAGCGGAAAACAAGACAATGTCACATTAACCTTGATGAAGTTTTAATTTCCTTACCTCCCAGGGCTGCGGGACTCCTGAGAATGTAACATTGCGGCTCGCTGTATACCACATACATGTCTATATACTGAGGATTTTCCTGAGAACGGAAGAAGTTGTCGAGGATACTTTCGGTTAAATCATCTTCTTCTGTACTCGACTGAGGCTCCGCAGCAACACCTGCGTGGGAAAATCATTTTTGCAATGAAACTGCTAAATAGCACAAAAACAAAAATGCTCCAGGTTTGTCGAGCATGAAACCTTAACTTACCCCTATCAGGAAATGGAGTACCTCTGGAATAGCACGTGGCGTTATCATGCTGCACGTACGTGTAGCTTCCTGGGGGATCTGGAGTAGCACTTGGGAGTGTTCCTGGTTTTCGGGTACAAAAACATTGTATCGCACTTTCAAAATAGTTTAGACGATTACGCAGCTAAAATCTTCAAGACTGCACACTAATACTGACCTGGCAGTGAAGCAAAGCCGCAAAGTAACTAATTACAACTATGTACGTTACTGTAATTAGTAACATCTTTCTAAACTAAATAAGCTGGAATAAATTGTTCGTAACTATAACGATAACTTCGTTATAACTTGTAACTTGGCATAGTTACATTTAGTTTTCGAATTTTCACTTTGAGCAACATCGCCGAACACTTTAAATCTGGAGAAGCAGCTGTTCGTGCGAATGCTTGACTTATTACTAGATTCATTTTATTTGACCCTCGAATTTTGTTAATATTTAGTGATAAATATAAAGCCTGACTTGACTGAAAATGACAATACAATATTAATGGGGAGCCTCCTGGTCATTAGTTTTGAAATTCAAGCAAACGGTTGCCACTTTCAGAAATTTGACGCATGCGACGATTGTCTGAAACAGGCTAAGGTATAACCACAGTGTAGTAAATACAGCAAGTACGAAGATGTTGAGCGAAACCCGCTAAACCTTCTTCGCTGCAGCTGTTTTCCAGTGCAGAACAAAATGACAGAACATATTTAGATTCAAATAGAGCGAATCTGAACAAGTTTTAATTCAAGGATGCCAGCGAGCCGCTTAAGAGCTGCCATGTTTAAACCTAGAGAGTATAGGGAAACAGAAAGACAGGACAACACGAATCTCCAAACACAGCTGGAGTTTATTTTACAAAACACAACCTTCAATTCACAAACAAGAGACAGGAACCCAAGCAGACCAAAGAAAGACATGGAGGATAGCGATGACGTCAGGCGTAACTAACCGGAATACACGTATCCAAAGAGGGCTCACAGCAGCCTCTAAACCAGATTCCGCAACAAAGAGACGATAGATTGCACCGTGCGACGGACAGAAACTGAGGACAACTTGGGACGCAAAACAGGGCTTTCGATTGGTCCTGCCCAGTGACGTGGTATTGTGTTATTTTCAGCAGTGCCCTTTCGACAGAATCTTACACTTCAAATCAGGCTGGTATTCTGCTGCCCTCCTTAAGCGTCGTTTGCCCCTTAGTTCTCGGCAGTTTATCTGTCGTGACTTGCGTGGTAGCAGAGATAGTGTGCTCACAAAAAACAAACGCTGGTATTTATTGCCAAAGAGATAATGAAGTCTCAAAGAGGGAGGTGTTACCTATGCTCCAGGTGAATTTTGCAGGCTTGGCATTTATAGAAAATAGAAAAACCTAAGGTGGAAACATCATCTGCATTTCTTTTCTAATTTCCTTTTGGCAGAAAATTTTGTACGAGAAAATGTATTTTTTAACGTTGAAATGTTTTTTGTTATTTTGATGTGTAATTGTATTGTCTATAGAATTGCCTTTTCTCGATATCTAGCTTAACTTGCCCTATGGGCATTCGACTTCACATTAATACACAACATTTGTGGAAGGCAATTATAATATTTCTTTAAAACATTTTTTAATGAAGTCACTTTTTTTAGAAACTTAGGAAACGCAGGATACTATAGAATTGGTCTATAAGGCTGAGGCTTTGAATTTATTCATTTCTATTGGGGGGAATAAATCGCCCTAAAAATTGGAATCACCTTGGATGAAGGGTTAAAACGTTTACACTCCCAAGCCGTATCCACCCTCCCCTTCCGAGCGTTACGTACCTTTCAAGTTTGCCCGTATAACGTTTTCAAGCGGGTAGTCAGTTTGACTTAGAGCTCTCACTTGTATTGTGGTATTCTCGCTGAAATGTAAAGAAAAAATAATTACGAGAAAGTTAAATTTCAAAATGTATGTAGGGTCAGCGCCTCGTTTTATCGCACGAATTTCGGTCCCAGCCGGACGAGAACCACATTGGTTCTCTCCCTGTTCTAACGTCCCTCTCTCTTCCTCAGCCAGTGTTTCTTTGCAATACGAGCCAGATGACAACGCCTGTATCTTTCCCGACATACGTCATCGCCAGTGGCCCCACGCAATGCCGCTTGCCTCGAGTGAGCATCACCTCCAGCGCCGCTTGCAGTATCTCACAACGAGCGCACCCTAGCACGCGATGACGGCCTAAGATGGATCCATCTGGCGCCCTGCGGCGAGAGCGTCAGCGTATTTGCCGCCTAGGGAGGCTCGGGGGTCCACAGTGACGTAGTGCGCCGGCGTTGTCTTCTTGTTCCACGTGGCATTGCTCTTTCGGCACGTCGAGCAAGCGCATACATATACTCAGCGCATCGCCGCTTCTCTTCGGCTATCTCCTCCTCGTGCAGCCTGCTCCTTCCTCTTGAGAGGCGTTGTGAAGACTACGGCGCACTGAGTGGGCGCCTCCTAGCGCAACCCGCGGATGTGTGCGATAAGGAGACGAAGACAAGAGGTGTACCTCGCTCTCCTGCTCATGTTCACGTCCTTCCATTTATTCGCTGCGATTTAGTGATGGGAGAATGAAAAAAATTAAAGCCATTTACAACTCTCTGTAACGCCGGCAGCACTTGAGGAGCAGGATGGAAGAGTACTGAGGGGACGGTATACCCCTCCTCCCTACTCCTCACCCCGTCATCCTGCCTGCTACTCCGCCACAAGGGACACGTGGCCTCACGTGGCCCACGTGACCCCCGTGAGGTCACGTGACCCCCCTGAGGTTAAGTGACCCCCTTGAGGTCACGCGGCCCCCGCGAGGTTACGTGACCTCAGGGCGGTCACATGATCTCAGGGGGGCGGTCACGTGACCTCATGGTTACGCCGACGCCGCTCAAGCCAGAAACGGGCGCCTAAGAGCTGCGCTCTAAAATACCTCGCTGTAGACGTTAGCAAGTACGGCCACTGGGCGCCGCCATCTTGCTGCTATTGTTGGCAGATCGACTGATGGTGAAGCACTGCTGAGGCGTTTCCACGGTTTCCAGACTGGTTGCCCAACAAGATGCGTGGATGAATGCTAACGGCTGTTCCCTTCATTTTGGGCGGTACCTTGCGCCATGCGCCACCTAGCCGAGAAGTTAAGACCCAAAAGCATGATTTCTTCACTTCGCCAATTTGCCATGTTTCTGCAATTTCGTAACTCTCACCAGACGATGTGGCATATCAACAAGGCGTTTTCCATCCACCGTGGCCAGACTAGCTTTCGAAGCGTGGCCGGTTGCAAACGTCTATTAGCGGCGAGATGTTTTGGTGGCGCCCTCCTATGGTTCCCCCTTGTGACGTCATTACCTTGCCAACAACAAGTTCAATGGTGTTCGTAAATAGCATCGTGGAAGCCTGAAATCATTGCGCTCTCAAAGCAACACTGTCAACACCGTCGAAATCAAAGTTCTTTCATTCCTCTTATTTCCGTCAATGGTATACCCTTTCCGACGTCATAGTCAGCTTTTGGGCCAATCGTGGAAGGCCGACCACAGCGACGCTTTCGGTCGCGCACGTCGCCAATATCACGCGCTCCTTGTTCGGCCGAATGAATTATTTCTGACTGCATGACAGAAATATCATGTTTTTTGCTCTTAGGCGCCCCTTTCCGGCTTGAGCAGCGCTGCCGTCGCCGTCGGCGTAGCCAAGGTGACCCCAAGGTCTCGTGACCCCCAGGTCTTGTGACCCCCAAGGTCACGTGACCCCGCCCAAAGTCACGTGACCCCCGAGGTCACATGAACCCCCAAGGTCACGTGACCCCCCCGCCGAGGTCACGTGACGCCCCCCGCCGAGGTCACGTGAGCCCCCGATGTCGTCATCGTCACTGATGACGTCACCAGCATCCACATCGTCATCGTCATCTTCACTGATGACGTCATCGTTACTGACGACGTCATCGTCACTGATGACGCCACCGCCATCCGCATTTCATCGTCAGTGATGACGTCACCGGCATCCGCATCGTCATCGTCACTGATGACGTCAGTGACGTCATTGATGACGTCACCGGCATTCGCATCGTCATCATCACTGATGACGTCACCCACATCTGCATTGTCACCGTCATCATCACTAATGACGTCATCAGTGACGTCACTGATGTCGTCACCGGCATCCGCATCGTCATCGTCATCATCACTGGTGACGTCATCAGTGACGTCACTAATGACGTCATCGGTATCCGCATCGTCATCGTCACTGATGACGTGATCAGTGACGTCACTGATGACATCATCGGCATTGTCATCGTCACGTGGCCCCCCAATGTCACGTGACCCCCCCCCCCCCTCCGGTCAGTTGCCCCCCGCCCCCCAGTACCCTTCCCTCCTCCTCCGCAAGAGCTGCGCTCTAATTCGGCGTTACAGGGAGTTGTAAACGGCTTTCACTTTTTTAATTGATTCGTAATGTTTTCTTCTTTCTGCTTTCTGTACCTTACTAATTGTGACTCTGTTCAAGGGTCTGACGCCGACACCTTGCACCAAACAATCTTTGTGTCTGGTAGAGCAATTCGCTCGCAAGATCATACGCTTTAGCAATAAAAAAAAAATTTAGTTTTTGTTGTTCCAAAAAGACTCGTGGCCTGTCGGCGCGCACCGCCTCCCCAACTATACTCTACGAGGATGCCGCCGTTGGTTGGCGCCTTCAGCGAGGCTCTTTTTGCGGACATTGAGGGACGACGGACCAGCCACCGAGGGGCGAGCCAAATGCGGTGACCGTCGTCGCCTATGAGCGCGCAGGCGGGCTTTCGAAAGGGTCGCATCGGCAGTCATCGGCAGCCGTGTGAAACCCGTTTGAACAGCTTCACAGTGCGCTCCACACCGTCCCTCTATCAGTCGTCGGCCTGCCTTCACCGCACTGTGGCGTCCGAAAGCTCAAGCTATAGCGCGGGAACGCTGGGCACCACAATGCGGACGCCTTCCAGATGCAGTCACCGGGGCCGCAGAGCAGGCTAATGAGCAGTGTTGTATGCGGTACCAATAAAAGAAGCAACAAAATAGGTTACTTGCAATGAAAAGAACGCGTTGCCGACCTACGTTACGTCAAAATAAAAATAACGCGTAAACTTTGCCGTGAATAGGGAGCTTTCGTAGACGGTTTCCGCTGTACCGCAATGTTCTCCGCAAGCCGATACGAGATCCGGGATTCTGCAGGCAAGGCTAGCGCCGCGCATGCGCAGTAGTGGCGTCTTCGTTGCAGAGAGCGGAGCGGAGGTGAGAAAACGGTCTACGAAAACTTCCTATTTATTAGAAGTAACGCAGGATAGTTTAACGTAACCTTTTTTAATTATGAATTAACGCGTATTACTCTTTTCACGTTACAGGCATGCATATGCATATGCAAGAAAAATTAGGTCAATCCCGAAATTCAATATAATGACCATATCTTTTTCGGTTGCACCTAAATACTCACAAAAAGAAATGCAAAAAAAAAACGCAAAAGAGCAAACAAAATAACTTAGACGCTTGGCGCTTAGAAAGACGAAAATAGTAGTGTATAATTTTGCTTAAGTTTTGGGAAGATATCTACCGTGTAAGGTAACTGTTACCCATTAGTCTGAATAAGTAACCTAAGTACGTTACGCGTAACCGTTTTGAATAAGTAACGAGTATGATACGACGTTACCGATAAAAGTAGCGCATTACCGGAAACACCGTTACAAATAACGAGTTACCGCCAACAATGCTTACGAGCAACTTTCGAACTGCCGTCAAGTGCGCTCTCCAAGGAGTATCCCACTCTGATGTTTACTCAACACTTGTTGCTGTCCGCGACTCTTTGAACACAAAGGCACTGCGCCACGTTTTAATAAAAACAAAATAAGAAAACGAGGATTTATTTGCGTTTCGTTAATTGCGGATATTTAAGCCGCCATCGGTGATAAAAAAATGTTTTGGGTGCGTTGTACGCGAGTTGCTAAAAATTTTACATAGCTCGGCGAATTTTGTACTGCGAGGAACAAGGCCAATAACCTCATACGCTTCGCTAAACGGCTTGATTTAAAAAAAAAAGTGATCAGAAAGTCGTTTCGTTATTTCGCAAACTTGATCATTTGCCAAAGGTCTCACAGGCGACCACAGCTAGCGCTCAATTCATGACGTCATGTACAAGAATTTTGCCCGACAATAGTAAGAAAACTGAAAAAGCTTAACGTTTTTTGTTTTTTTTTTTGCTACCTCGCTAGACAAATATCACAGTGGCGATGTTCAGGAAGTAACCTTGAAATGTGCCAATTACCCTTCTGCTATCTTTAGGATCGGGATGAAGGTTTCCAGTCGGCTCTGTTTAGTATAAAGTGGACTATATCAATTTAAGCCGATGGAAGTACCTTTAGTTTTCTCGAAAGAAAATGTGCGTCTTTAAACCATGTTTTTATTTTTTTTATGCTTAAAGGGGCACTGACACATCAAAATCGTAATTTATTTTATTATCCGAAACGATTAAAAATGATGCCGGGACATTACCCTCAAAATTCGAAACTTGGGAATTCAGTATTCGTGAATTAAAAAAACAATTTCCAAATGCCGAATTTGAAGTTCCCGCGCGATCCACGCCAGTGCAGTGAGTCAAATTTTGCGGTCTCCTGCGACTCGACTTTCTTTCGGACCTCCGCACCACGCTGTGAAGCAAAGCGCCGTTGCTACCGCGACCCGAAGAGAGGAGGAGGTGAGAAGGCGGGATAGAAGGGAGCCGGCGCGGGAAAAAACCGGTTTCTTCGACTCGGCGATAAGCCTCTGCTCGAGCGCCGCCAAGTTTTCCGAGGGAGAACACAAATCCAGGAAGCGACATCACACCGAAATCTGATTTTTGGTATTTCAAAAAGAAAGGCCGTAGTGCTTTCGTCATTGCGTTAAAAAACATGTTTTACGATTGCCGTTATTAAATGTTATAGAAATGTCGCCTACAAAGCTTCTAAATTTCCTGATTTTTGACGTCACCGATCAAAAGAAGCGAGGAGGTGAGCGCGGGAAATATAAACGCCAAAAATAAAAAGGCGCGCGCGCGCGCGGGAAATTTTTTTTCGCGATGCGTTTTTTTTTTTTGCGTGGGGTATGACTACAACTTGCATTGTTTTAGACAATAAAAAAGAATACGACCTTTGGGATGTCAGTGCCCCTTTAATGGCTTTATAAGGGCACGTGAGCATACGAAAGAGTTGAAAGTGACATATTTTTAAGGGCGGTATATTAACTTTCATGGAGAATTACCGCCCCATATAAATATCGCCTGTCTTGGGGCACCTTTTGGAGAAGCAACCTATTTTCAGTGATGAATAGATTTTTGTACAACCACCCCATGATATCCGAATGGCAACACGGTTCTGTACCTGAGAAGGGTACGCTGCTGTTCTTAGTTGACGTGGAAGATTATTGTTTTTGGGCGTGTCAAATGCCTTTGATCCCGTTAATCACTCTATTCCGCTGCGTAAATTATAAGTTTGAGTTTTGGGGACCCTTTTATTCACTATTGTCAGACATGTTATCTGGACTATCACCGTGTGTGCAAGTGCGTCGGGAAGTGAATAACCTTTGTTTTCTGCGAGGGGGGGGGGGGGGGGGGGGGGTTCCACGGTGTTCTGCGCCATCGCCCCTTTTATTTATGCTTCGTTTCAGCTTAAGTGCGGGCGCAGCCGACGCTATTCGCTAATGGGACCAAAAGAAGCCGCGTGGAAAGCTCAAGTCACTGGGCCTTTTTTGTTTGTGATTGGTTCAGCAATGATAGAACACGTAAAGAAACACGACGAACATCTTGATGCTATCTTTTTAACGATGTCTGGGTGGTACCATCAGCTCGTAGCGTCGGCCGTGTATGGATATATGTCGGCCGTGTATGTCGACAATCTTGTTTCTGTCATTTCTGGATGTATGCGCTATCAAAACGCTAACGACACTTTGTTGTTTTTTTGGCATATTAATTTTGACAGCGCCCTTAATAATTTGGAAACTAATGTCAACGAGGTTAAGCATACGAGAGCTATGTTGACGCACTTCCGTAATCCTCTAAAGTTCGGTTTCCTAGACACGCCCTTTTTCTTGCTCGGTGTAGAATATGTCCTGTATTTGTGTTAGTATTCAATGGGACGGTAGCACAATGTACGCAGGGCTTGTGTTTGGACAGATATACTGGAATAAGCACATGGCCCACAACTGTCGTGCCTTCCGGTACGCATCTTTTCTGTTATATAATATTAGCATTTTTTTGTTTCCTTTGGCGTCCCAACAATTCTAGTTCATGCCTTGGCCTACAGTGTACTCAGGTACGGGGCGACTGTGTTTGCTCACGGTGCTGGGCTGCGGCATGCCGAGGTGAACAATCTTCTCAAAAATGCATTTTGAAAAGCGTGGCATATAACTCAGTATTCTCTAACTGCACGAATATTTTTAGCGATATCGAAATGTCGAATTTTTATTGCTTATTCCGGAAAGCAGTCGTACTCCAGTATTTCTGAACCCAGAACTGTAGCTTCATATAAAACGTCTTGCTCTTTAATACAGGCCGCCCGTTTTAAGCGTCCTCGCTGTTTCACGAAGTATGGGATGGGAACTGGAGCTTATTATGTTCCGGATATTTTCAATCAGGTCTCAGCGTCTGCCTTCCTTCTAGATTCGAGGGCAAAACTAAAAGAATGGCTCTGCTGCTCTATTTTAGACACAGTGTTTCTCCTCGTTTAATTTTCGGTTCTGAATCAACCTTGAATTCAATGCTTTTCTTCATGTTGAATTTGTTTTTGAATCAGCCTTGGACTCAGCGTTTCTATAGATCGCTATTTAACATGTGGTATTTGATTTGTACTGTTTTATTGCTGGCTTGCTTTTTGGTGACTTCCCGGGTGGGACCTACAAGCCAATATAGGATTTGCCGTAGCCGTCAGCCCTCCTTAAGCACGACGCTTGCAATTAATATTATTATCATTATATTTTTTATAATTATAATATAATTTTAATTTTATGTTTTCTTCTTCCACTGTGAGAAATAGGGCTGGTAAGTTTCTGCCATTCGAGCTTTTCTGCTGGACATTCTCGGGAAACGAAGGAGGGGAAGTAGGTCGAACTAAGGCCCCTGGTGGAACGGCCCTCGACGCGATTTTGCGAACAATGACAATTGTTCTCCCCCCTCCCAGAGATAATCCGCGTAGGGCCCTCAAACATCTCCAAAAATAGTTGTCCGGGTTGGGGTGGGAAACGGATCAGTGGCGGGCGTTCCTCTGTCTATCGGTAAACATGTTATTTGTGAGCGTGAAAAATGCATGCCTTTCGGCTATCTTCTGTTGTTAATTAATTTCGACAGCTAAACGCTTTGTCGTTTGACACGCGGCTAATCGAACGGCGCCGTAAAAACTTACCGTAAAAAAAAAAAAAAAAAAAAAAACTAACATTCCAGTCGCATTCGTTCTGTCACGCGCGTACCCAACAAAAATAGTTTACTGCTTTTTTTTTTCAAATGTAGTACAATGCTTCCCAGTCCTCGGGAAAATACATGCACCATGAAACACAAAATGCAGTGGGAAAAGACGAGAATTTAGCCGCCAGCAGTATTGGAACCTGCGCCTACACAGGCTGCACCTGTGTAGGCGCAGCTAGGGTGCCTTCATGTGCGCTTTGCTTGGGGTGATGACATCTGGCCATTTTGTTTCGAACGCTTATTTTTATTTTTTGTTCTGAAGCGCGTGAAAGAGCGTGTCCCTGCACGCGCTCGTGGCGCTGACTGTGCTACAGCGACATTTTGTTTCCTGCGATTTCTTTGTATTTTGCCTGTGAGCGCGTGCTGTCGGTATCGGGTACTACAAACGATGGCATCACCCTAAACAGGACATTGAGGCACCCTAGGCGCAGCCTGTAAAAGTATACAAAAGTAATGCGAAAGTAATGTCATTACTTTTAAAAGTAATTTGTAATGGTAATTAATTACTTTCTGGCTGTGGTAATTTGTAATGTAATTTAATTACATTTCAGCAATTTTCAGCAAAGTAATTAGTAGTGTAATTTAATTACAAAATATGAGTAATTTGGCCAGCTCTGGTTCCTGGACACCTAATAAAAATTATTCTTGATTCTTGATTATTATTATTAAGATTAGTAAAGTACTTACTATATTTCTTTCTCTGGATTGTACAATCCGATTTTGTAAGTGGCGGTCTTGTTGGTTTTGTCTGTGATATTTGCTCTTGCGTTTAAACATTTCTCATGAGCGTAATCGCCGCTGCGAAACATCAGGAAGTACGTATCTTTCGATGTTTCTTCCAGGACCTGCAAACGACAAAACAAACCATGTCATTATTTCTCCCATTATTACAATAAGACGCATGGTAGCGCAAAAAAAAGGCACTCACTCAGATTTAAGCATTCGTATAGTGTCGACAGTAAAAATCAGGCATTGCTCCACTTTATATTACAGCGAAGTAACGCTTATGCACGAAGTAAGGAGCGAATCGAACACATGTTTCTCTTACATTGGTTTCAACATGATTACAACGTGAATGTGGACGGGTCATTTCTGTGTTGACAAGCGCGTATTTGTGTGGCAATACAACATAAATATATGCTATAAGAAAAAATTCTGCACAGACGCAGCGAATCTTAAACATCCCCAGGACTCACAAAAAAGGTACGATTTTTCCGTAGTACTAAATGTATAACCCAAAATTTAATTTGCGTTCGGCCATCCCATATTTCTAGGCAATGACAGTTAATGAGTGTCTAGCGCTCCCTTGATTATGCTTACTCCTAGCCTAGACTTTCGTTGTTTGTTCGTTCTTTTTGGGTAAGAAAGTAATATGGTAGTTCAGAAAAAGATCGGGCGATAATGGAAGCTTTTTTTTTTTATTTCGTGTTCGTTACTGTGCGTCTATTTTGGTTGTCTGTGTCAATAATATGGGCGATCCTGTGTACAAGAAATGGTTATCGCTCTTGCATAAAACGGGGGTGGAGTGCAGCATCCTCCGGTGACTACTAAGCTGGTATCACTTGCAGCACAGAATCTTGTCACAGGGGCAACATGGAACGGTCTGCCGAACGCAGCACACTGCTCGCACCTGTTTTGCCTGCTCTGGTCCGCGCATCCGCGATGCGAAGAACCACTCGCTTTTTCTTTTTCCTGGGTCTTAATTCATCTTAATTGCTTCATCCTATATTGACCTTATGCATGCGGCCGTCTTTGCTTTGGACGGACTGGTTTGGACCGGACTGGACTGGCTCTTGAGGCCGATGCGCGGCTCCCGTCGTTCTTTCGCTCCGTTCTTTCGCTCGTTACGCCCACTTTCCCTCTTACCTGAGAACGAAAGAGTCACTTGGTTTTGAGGGGGGGGGGGGGGGGACCAAACCATCCCTTCCCTCCCCTCCCCCCCTCAGGGCCGAGGGTGGACGGTGCTCTTTGTATCCCTTGGGCGCGCCGGCCAGTGTTTGCCCTGCCCTGTGGCTGCTGTTTCAGAAATGGGGGGGGGGGGGGGGGGGGGGGGGCAAAACACATGCCTTGCCGCCCCCTTTCTGAGAACTGGGGGTAAGGTGTTAACCCCCCCCCGGATGGCGCGCCCATGCAAAAAGTCGTCCCGCAGATTTCCAATTAGCCGCCGCTGTTGGCATGCACTCATCTTACGATGGCACCGGGACGTCACATAGTTTCCTTTCCTCGGTATGCACTACCTACGCGACAACGTAAAAGCCAAAGGCAGCGACGACACCGTTTGATCTAAACTGCCTGCTCCCGGGAGGAAAGATTGGCTCTTCGAAGACATCAGCATGCGAACCGCAGGCGGCGATCGACAGAAGGTGTGGCGGCTGCATCCGAAACCGCCGATGCCCGGAAGAACAGACTGGCTCTCTGAAAACAGTCGTGTCCGGACTGTTGCGAGATTGAAAATCCCATCCTTCTCTAAGTCGAAACCCTTGAGCAAGATGCTAAATCATGTTGTCGAAAATCAGAAGCGATTTCGACGTAATTTATTTTTGTTCTTTTCGTAATGATTGTTTTTATTTTTACTTTCAATCGCTATACATTTTTGGCGTTTTAAAAGAGCGTGCGAGCAGCTCCCGGCTTTCAAAGGTAACCCATAGCGCTTGCATGACGCCCCACGTAACTATATTAGTTACCGCGAATGCCGCCAGTATAGCAGTAGTGCGAGAAAACTACACCCTCCCGCGTTATATACAAGCCTGATTAACGCTATACGTGTAATACACTTCACAAAATTCAATGCGCGTACTCTCCCGTTAAGCAATTGGTAAAGCTAATCGCTGCATTCTAGGGAGGCGCTCGGCAAATGACGAGGAAGATATGTCTGGGCGCACAAAAACCGTCCACTTAATGACACTAAGGCTTAATCGCACGATGTATCTTTTCATCGCGCCACGGTTTAGAGAAAATCGAGATTTCGCGAAATCGCGCTTTTTCAGACCTAAAGTTTGACGAGCTAAACCTGTGACGTACTGAATCACGAGAATTTCGCCCAACCTCGCCATCTGCACCCGAAATATCAGGCGTTTCGCATCAAAATGATATGAAGTACGCACAGAGTGAAGAGGCAGTCGTCGTCGGATTCAGTTCACGAGGTGTCCTATATATCCTGCCAGACCCGGGAAAGACCGCGAACGTCAAAGAACAAGCCGATGATCTCGAAGCATTTTAAACGTTTTTGAACACCTAAAAGAAAGTTACCCCAGCCATCCTGTTTATATGCGGTGCTTGCACTCGTCGCGGCTGTTGATGAATCTGTACCACGCCACCAACCCGTATTGCTAAGTTCTAGCACATATGGCCTGTATACGCTGGAACGCACCGATCCTCTGCGTGTCGCTCGCCGTCATATTTGCTTGTCTCTTTTCGGCTTTGGCCCGGTCACGGAATGGGCCAAAGCTCAGACTCCTTCAAAATCTCGCTCTGCCTCGAAGGTCAGACGTCAGAGCGAAGCCGCGCGGCCATCGGCAGCGTCCGCGTTTCTTCTTCGGGTGATTGACAGGCCGTGGGGACGTTCGAGGAAAATATTGCTCCCGAAGCGAGGTGCACACGCAACCTTTCTCGGAGGCGCGCAACTTTTCGGTCGCTTTAACACGGTTCATCTGTTTCCCGAAACCTAGTTTCGCGAGACATGATTCGCCAACAAGATGCATCGTATGAATAGACCTTAAAACGGAAGCTACAGTGCAGATTTTGTTTTGTCAAGAAGTTTTGTAAGTTTTGACATTTGCCATTCTTTTTCCGGATATTGCATCGACTTTCTCTATCAAGGGCTTTGTAGGAAATTAGATGCACCAAATTCACGTGTAATATGTCTTGTGAAATCACGCATTAGCTTTGCCACTTCATTTATTTCCACATCGCATAGGGGACTTCATTGTATTAGGGTTTCGTAATACAATACAGTTTTTCAAACAAAGACAAAAATATTTTTTTGAAAGGGCAGTTTTTTTCGAAACTCTTCAAGCTAGCTGTGACATCCGTGCTATAATTTTGCTCGGGGCAATTTTTCAGTGAGCCTTTTAGTTGCAAGTTAGCGCTCGTTGTTGCGACTACCTTCCTGGCTCCGTCCTGGAGTTGGCCTTCTCTTGTCGTCAACGGCAGCAAAGCTTCTTACCGCGTTCGGCTTGGCGTGGGCCAACGACGCTAGGCGAAATCACGCTCAGATCCCCGAAACCAGCCATTGAGACACCGGGCCGGTGGTGGCCCTCTCTGAGGGCTTTAAACACAAAAAGAAAGTCTTCCGGAAGCCACGAGAGGATCGTGAACGCCAGCCCTTGCAAGGAGAAACGCCGGTGTGCGTGTGTTTGTCTGTATGTGTATGTGTGGGTCTGTCGGTGTTGTGTTTTAGTTCGAACGGCAAAAGCGTCGACACCTTGGATCAGACACCGCAGCATGGCAAGAGCGGTTACGGCATGTTTCGTCTGTACCTCGTTGAAAGAACACAGGGCAATTGCATCAGCCACCCCCGCAATTCGAACCCCACGTGAACACTTGAACTCCGGGGAAGGCTCGCGTATTTCTTCAGTATTCATTTTAATCATGCAATCATGACATTCGACTTCAGTTAGAATGAAAAAAAAAATACCGTATTTCCCGGGCTATGGTCCGGGGTCTATACATGTTTAAAAGTTGAAACATTAGGGTGCGCGGACTATCTACGCGTGCAGACTGTGCAAGACTTTTGTTTTTCAAGATCGTTCATTATGACCAGACGTGACAGATCTTCTAAATGAGAGAGTATGTTAGCTATTATTTATTTGTAATACAAGCTGCTCTGTCAGAAACCTCTAAAGGTGTGCCGCCTATCAGAAGATTTTCGTGTCCACTAAGCACCAAATGCGGACTATGCACGGCGTACGAGCTACGCACGGTAAGCGCACTATATAAGCAAAAACTTTTATTTCTGACCCAAGATTTGCCCCTGCCTTTGCGGACTATAGCCCGGAAAATACTGTGCAATGGGGATGAGGAACAACTCTGGACATCCGCAGTATGTCTGATATGAGCATTTTTTACATTCATCTGAAGTGTATCACTTTCTTAGTCTCAGTCTAGCGTGTTTGATGCTGAAGACGGAAGATATATGGTGCGACCGACACCGCGTTTACATGTGCCCCGAGGACGTTTCAAGAGGTCGTGTTTGCTACACGTGGCGAACACACACATAATACACCGCTCACCCTTTCTCTCCTTTATTCATGACGGCCCTGAATTGCAGAAGGTTCTTGTAAGCTCACTCATGTCGTTGCTACTCGAAAAGAAATGCTCGTCGCCCTTCGTCCCTAGTTTGTATTCTTTCTGAGTCAATAAATTTTACCAACACGCTCTTTAGTTAATGGGAGGTGTCTGAGATTGCCTAAATATGGTGATAACTCACTTCGTTGGCTCGAAGCATCTTAAGAATTCCCAGATCATGACGACGCGTGGCAGATTTCCCGTTTAAAAAAAATTTGCATTAGGCAGTTTAAGCTTCGCCTTCAAGAGTGGAACGCGATTGCTAAACATATAAAGTCGCGCTCGTTCCCAAGATGGGCAGCGCGTCTGCGTGGCGTAGCCGGCATCTTGTCTGGCGTCTTGTGACACCAGGTGTGACGTTTGACGTCACGTCTCACGTGACTGTGACGTCATGACCTTGTCGACCATAAGGATTTTCCGTCCCAGCGACACCGACGCTGACGCCGGCACCGGATTTTCTGCTACACGAGTGCCTAAACGCTGTCGCGTTAAAAAGTAATCAAAGATCGCATCACACCGAATTCATCTCCAACAATGGAAGGAGCATGTTCCGAAACGA